TGAACCTGATGGTCAGATCCAGGAGTAATGCCTGATACTGCATGACTCGGGAGTTAGGCAGCCACTGGTCCAGCAGAGCCTTGATGAGAGTCTCCAGCGAATGGGAGGAGACAATTAAGAGTTTACATCCCAAAGTCAATTTCTGAGCCTCCTTTAACCAGGAGGGCCACTGAGGAAATCACTCACAGACAAGGTGGCTATCCAGCTGCCACATTATCAAGTCTCTTGGAAAGATAGGCAACAGGCCTCTGCCAGGGTCCCAAATTCTGTGTCAGTACCCCTTTTGCTATCCTTCGCTTCTCACTGACATAGAGGGAAAAAGGTTTTAGCAGATCTGGCAGTGCCAGGACAGGAGCCTCAATTAAGGCCAGTTTCAGCTGTTTAAAAGCCTGGTCTTGAGAGTCTGTCTACTCTCGAGGGTTCTGAGTGGCTCCCCTTAATGAGTCATAAAGAGGCTGAGCTATGTCAACAAAATTAATAATCTAAAGCTGGCAATATCCTATGGCTCCTAGAAATTCTCACGCTTGCTTTTTAGTCACAGGGACTGGAATCTGTTAGATGGCTTGTACCCACTGGGAGGAAAAAGTCCATTTTTCTTCATGGATTTGGTAACTTAAGTAGATCACATACATTTGGCATAGTTGGGCCTTTTTGCAGAGACCTTATAGCCCAGCTCATGTAAAGTCCATGGAAGATCTTGGGACAGTCCTTTCATCAATGCCCCTTCTCTTAGCAATAAGCACGTTGATTTTTATCTAGGGGCAGATGAGACTTTGCATTGGGCTGTGTGACTTTGTTGGCTTCTGGTCTTTAGGTTCTTTCCACTTGTCAATATCTTTTAAGCAATCTCTAATAACTGACTGGGGTCATTCTCTCAAGTCCTTCAAGCTTTTGCAATTTTCACTTAATATCAGGGGCCAACTGAGTTACAAAGGAAGTATTAATGGCCCTTGCATTTTCAGGTGCTGCCGGATCTATGGGTGTATAAATGCGATAGGCCTTTTACAGTCTTTTCAGAAACCCCTGAGGGAGACTCATTAGCCAAGTGTCTCACCTCTGCTACCTTGGGCAAATTGGTGGTTTTTTTCTGGAGGAGCCCTTAAGGGCTTCTGAGAATAACTGGTGATACGGATGGAGAGCTTCCTTACCTCTGGTTGTCCAATCAGGGCGGGACAAAGGGAAAACATGGTTCTGGCATTCGGGATCAGAGGACGGGTTTCCTTCTGGATCACATGCTGCTTTTTGTCGCAGGGTGTGAATGTGCTCTCTCCTCCGCAGTAAACAGTACCTGTATCAGCTACTGACAGTCATCTCAAGTGGGATGATGAGTGAAAAAGATAGATTCCAGAAGAGACACGAGGCCTTGGGGATCCTTAGAAAAAGTGTGGGTTCTGCTGTTTCCAATTGTAGAGGTCAGAGGCCGAGAATGGGACAAGGGTAAACAAAGGTGCAGAGGGGAAGGACCAGAGGAGAGCTCCGGTTCTGAGGCCGAGTGTGTCTGAGCAGGGGGCCAATAGGTTGGGGCAAAGGTTTTTTCCCTAGTCTTTTGCCTTTTTGATATCCTATTTTAATCATTTTCTTAATTTTAGGATTTGAATCTATTCGTTCAGCTTCCAAATTGGGACTGTTTGTTCAGCTTTAAAATCAGAATGGCTAGTCAGCACTAATTTCCACTTTTGTAACAAATCTCTTTCCCACAAGTTAACTGGAATGGGTGCCACATAAGGTAAAAAGAAACCCTTTTGTTGGTCGGGTCCCTCATAAGGCAAAGGTGAGGCACTCTAACAAAATCAACTGCGCCAGGTAGCCTCCCTGTTCAAAAACCCAGATATCCACAGCACATGCAAGAACTTGTAGTTTATCTCTATACCATCCATCACACTAGGCACAATAATTATTCCTTTTAAATTTAGACCGGCTTTTTCCAGCACAAGTCCAATTGTTCCTTTGGGTGGTGGGCCCCAAATTCCTGTCCCAGAAAGCATTTCCTTATTTATTGCTGGACATGGATTGGGACCTGTTCTATTTTTATGAGCCTGCTCCAAGTTTTTAGCTTTACATCAAAATGCAGGAATTGAGCAGGAGACAGGCATGTTTGTGCCAAATGTTTGATATCATAAGGTATCAGTTGATATGTATCCAAAACATTTTGTAGTAAAGGTTTACAAATCCAATTCTATCAAATTCTGGACATATTTGTTGTTCTCTCTTGCTTTTTAAGAAAAGCCTGTTATTTATAGGTACTATCATCCAAAGCAAACAAAATTCACATCCTCTCAAGCTTTCTACTACTTACTACACACTCTCAAATTGAATTTTTCCTCTTTCACATTCTGGCACAGCCAGACATTTTACTTGAAGACAAAACCACTTTCTTTGTTCCTCTTTTTCTTTTTTACCTATTACCAATCAGTTACCTTCTCTCTGGCTTTTCAGACAACATTAAAACCATCAACAAAATCCTTGAAGTGACTTTCTTTCAGTAGTCTAAAATATATTGAATCATTTCATGTCTTTTCACCACCTTAAAATGCTACACTTTAAAAACTGTAACTTTCTTCACTGGCTCAATTACTGTATGACCTGGTTTCACTTGGTAAATTAATATGATTTTTAAAGCCCATATATATATGTATATATATATATATATTCACAATTTAACCAGAGAGAAAAATACTTTTTAAAGGTGTGCAGAGGTTGCAAGTAATCAGTTGAGGACCATAACATTAAACAAGGTGCCACAAAAACAAACAAACATTAAAGTCACAAACAAGTTTTTTCTGTCCATGATTTGGTGACCTAAAAGGAAACAATTTTTTTAAAATTATGGCCTTTGAGTCCAATAAGCCACATGGAGCCTGTAACAGAAAAAGGTCAAAAGGGGCAAAGAAAACCCCAGTTAGTAACAGATTCAAATGAGCAGATGGCTCTAAAGTACAGAAATACTGAGCAGAAAGACAAATGGGCGAAAAGCCCCAAATTACAAACAGGCAAAAAAGACCCAAATACTTACAGATGTTCAAGCTGATTGATTGGTGAAAAATAATTTGGGGAGGGGACCCCAGTAATTCCAGATGAGCCCTGAATATTGTATCCCAAAACTGAGACTCCAAGATGTTGTGCAAAAAACGGGGCAAGATGTTTTTTAAAATAAAAAGGAGTGCTTTATTTAAGCTGGCACCAGTGACAGCAGTGGGAGTTTGCAAAGCTGTGTAAATGGGTTAAAATTTTGTCAGGCTTTTATGGGAGAAAACCACAAAATCAATGATGCGAGGGGAGACAAGAATGAGGAAGATCTTTGTTTTCCTCCGCTTGAGTGCAGAGAAGTTTCACAGGGTGATCAGCTATTTTCTTCTTTGCAGATATTTACAGCGGTTTGTCTACTAATTTTAGGACCATATTGGCTCCTGGAGGCTGTGTCACCAGGCCTGGCCTAAAATAAAGTCTTTGCTCCCCAAATTTTAATTTATTGCTTCCTTGTATTTTATTCTGGGGTCTGAGCTATCACAAATAGCTTGGTGCTGGTGTTTGGTTGACTCTGCAGGCCTGGACTGGTGATATGGGCATCTTGGATGATGGAGTGCACATCATGTGAGCTGTAGGGGATGTCCTCCTGTCTAGTTTTTGAAATCCAATGTTTTGTTTCATTTTACAGTTTTGTTTTGTCCTTGTATTTGGTAACCTAGGTGCTATTTTGAAGATAAAAGTGTGCAGTGTTGTTCTGTTTGATTTTGTTTCTGTGTGGTGTTTTGTTCAATGTTATGTTTTGTTTGGTTTTATTCTATTTTGTTTTCTATGATTTCGCTATGTATGATGGTCTGGACAACTGTTGTGAATACAGTAATATATATATTAGATTAAGCATTGTTGATTTCCTATTAGTATGTTTTGAAATTCAGTACCTCTTTCACTGTTTTGTTTTGACTGAATTTATTGTTTTGTTTTGTTGGATTCTATTATCTTCAAAATAAAATTTAAAGAAATAAGATTCTAGGTTGTAGTTAGCATGTAGATGGCTTTGTTTTTGAACCAATCTACCAGTCTTTGGTTGCACTTTCAGCAAGAGGGTTTAAATTAGGTACATTTAAATTAACTTCTGATAGAAAAGAAAACGCTTCTACCATTTATCTCTGTTTCTTGCACATCTTACCCTTGAACTATTCCTTTATCAAAAATATTTTGCATTATTATCTTCTTGCCTTTAGTGGCTATTTTTTGTGTCCAGTTTGGTTACCTTTTGCTTTCCTTTATCACACTTTTCTCTGTGTTCTCACTGATTACATTGGTTAAACTCAATATCTTAAACATAAAACTCTAGTTTCAATAATAAATTTATATTCTGTAGTCTACAAAGTCTGTTCTCATCTATCTCTATCCTTCCAGCATTACATTGTTAATGTCCCAGATTCCACGTTTATACATTGTGTACTTATTAACATAGAGTTATAATTAGTGGTTTAGTCATTGGTGTTTTAAATTAATGCAAGAATAATAAATATGGGAGAAGAAAATCACACGGGAATAAACAGGAATTACAAACCCACGACTCAACAATACCACATTTATAAGTATCTATGTGCTCACCTTGTATAGTGTTGGGTGTTTCTTTACAGCTTTGAGTTACTATCTAGTGCAAGTTCATTTCAGACCAATTGGTCCTCCACCACCTCATCGAAGGCAAGTCCACTGTTAATGGAGTCCTTCTGCTGCGTTTTACTGGCATTGTCTTGACTTCTTCATTCATGTCAGGTAATTTGGCCAAATGGAAAAATTCTGTGGAACACTCTTATTCTCTTTCACAACTTAAACATATTATACCATTATCTTTTGATCTGCATGGTCTCCAATGAAAACGTAGCTAGAAATGAGTAAGGAAACATACGGAGCTCTCCTTGCATGTGATGAGTCTCTTCTCTTTACTACTTTTAAACTTTTCACTGTACTGCCCTCCTCGGACCTAGTGTCCCTGAGCCCATCCTACCCATCATCCGCCCAGAGCCTGTGCTGGAAGCCGGATGGACTACAATTCCCAGAGGGCTCTGCGCACATTGCGAGCACTACGTGTCTCAGGGCATTCGCGGGGCAGGGGTGGGGCTGAGGGGTGGGGGCCCCCTGAGGGTTGGGGCGCCAAGTCCTCCACTTACAAGCGCCCTCCTCCAAGAGCCCCGGAGTCCTCTCTCTGCTCACTTCCCGGTCCACTGGTCCCTCAAGGTAAATGGCGCCTGCAGCCTAGCGGGGCCTGTCTCCCCTAGGACGCTTCGAGGTGATGTTTCCTCAGGCAGAGAGCGCGGGGAGGCTCCCCAAACTCAGCGGCCTGCGAATCCCGGGACCGGGCGCTCCCGGAGCCGCGGGCGCTGTCCCAGCCTGGCTGACTCGGCGCATCCAGCGGCGAAGGGGCTCCCTGCGCCCGCGCTCCTCCGCTCTGAGTGGGCGTGGAGGCGCGGAGGGGAGTCCCGGGGCCTCTCCAGGGTGCGGGGAGGGCAGGGCGAGGGTCTGGGGCGCTGCGGCCAGGCCCTGCGGGGCTCACCCGGACTGAAGTCCGCCGTCCCGGAGTGCGGAGGAGGCCGACACGGGTTGGGGTCCTCGGCAGCACTTAGACTCGCATTCTGTAAGTGATGGGGGCTGGCCGATGAGGCCCCTCAGGAAGACATCTTCCTGGTCTGGGGCCCACCCAAGCCGCGAGTGGGGAGAGGAGAGGGCTATCTCTTTCTGGCCACCTCTGATGACCCCTGCCCCACCATCCATTTAATTAGGTTCAGTTGAAAGGTGTCCATCAACTGAGGAATGGATAAAAAAGTTGAGGTATTTTTATATAATAGAGTGTACTACTCAGCTATAAAAGATGATCACATTGAGATATTTATAAATAAGTAGGCTCAGCTTGAGACCACACTCATAAGCGAAATAAATCAAAGTCACATGTATAAATACCGAAGTTTCCCTAGTGTAAGAAATGGTAAGAATACAAAAAAGTATGTGGTAATCGTGATCCCCCATTATATTGCTTTGAAGCCTTATAATGTTTTCATTCATTAATTGGAATGGTTTTATTCTGGGTTGTTTGATTTTATTGTCTGTGATGGTATGAACAGCTATTTTGAAGAAAACAAGACATTATAATAGCTAGTGCTGATTTAATATCAGCTTGTTTTGAAGTCCCATTAAGCTTTTGTTCTGTCTCCATAGGTTTTATCATGTTCTAACTTACTGGATTTTATTATATGTGATAGTATATACAAAATTTTTTACAGACAAGGAGATAATATAAAAACCATTGTTTGTTTTCTGTTAGTTCTAAATACCTTGTAATACTTTCACCTTAGACTGTCTTGTTATGTTTGATGCTATAGTATATGAAGGTATACGCAAAGATTTCAAGGAAACAGACACTATGGTAACTACTGTTATGTCGGGTTATCTTGTGGTGAAACACTATGTTGCTTAAATTGTTCTGACCTGTGTTGTTATGACCCTCTTTTATCTTAGTTTTATTTTAAATAAAAAAAAGAAAGGCACAGGAATTTGACAGTGAACCCGCAAGGAGTTTGACAGTGAGTGCACCAGCTGGACACACAATTATAGGTCTACTGTACCTGGTCACAGTTCTGTTTTACTGTATGTGCTGCCGAAGCCAGCACACTTGTCACATTTCTGCCCACCCAAGACTCCATCAGACTTTTCTTTCTTGTCAATTTCAAAGTCATGTGGGGGCCATCAGAATATCCCTGTAAACTAGTCAAGTGCACATACCAGCTACTAGAGTCCTAGAATTCTTTCTCCTTCTTGATTCAGAAATAACAGCAACCTGGGTGTTCGAAAGTGTGTCTGCTTTCAGCTCTATCCTGAAGGTCCTAGGTTTTTCTGCAGGGTGGGAAGAGCTTTATATATGTTATTAGGAGGATTTAAAAACTGTTACCCATGGTACTGGCTTCTCTATAAGCAGAGAAACATAGACTGTGTCTTCACAGTCTTCAGAACAAATTGTTTTCAGAGGGAGTGAATGGAATGGCCCTGAAATCCAGATCACCTTGGTAGTGATGGAAGTGAGTTTTCTTTGTGTTCTGTTTCCCGATTTCACACTATAAACTTGCCCAGTTTGAATCTCCCGTTCTGTGTGTGATGTGATGTCTATACTGGAGGGGAACAGAGTGGCTAGATTTGGCGATGTCCATGAATGCATGTGGCTTGGTGGGGGCGGGGGAGCTGATGAATGAACCATAACAGCATGTTTCTTTACCTAATAATGTTTAGAAAAGTGAGTCCACAGCCGGTCTGCCATGCAGGGAAGGCGTGGTGGAAGGGTTGGCAGAGAAAAGCTGCTTGAATAATGGCAGGGTAAAACCAAGGGATAGGAGAGGAGCCATGGAGGGACACATGGAGTGTGCTAGGTCACAATCCAGTTTTTCCACACTTCCCACCAGGCTTCACCACATTTTACAATGGATTCTTCTGTGCCCTACTCCACTGATAGCACCCCATGATCCAGGCCTCTTCCAAAAACCCAGGCTGTGAATACTTGAGATTGTTGGGAACATTGTAGATCTGAAATATAAAAATGGTTGTGGAGGCGGCAGTGCAATGCAGTGCTGCAGAGCTGAGGGAGAGCGAGCCAGGGGCCCGTGCAGAGCTCTGTCTCCTCCAGGAGGGAGAAACAGGTCTAGTACCACAGCTGATGGTCCCTGCTCTGTGAGTCATCAGAGAGTGCTCTGGGGATGATGGTGAGTCCAGTACTTGGAATTGAGAGGCCAAGCTTGCGGTGTCTCTATCCCCTGATGCCAGGTGAAAGGGGAGTTGCCTTGCCAGGGTGTTGTCACCTGTGTGATAGGTGAAGAGCAACAACCAGGCCAGATAAGGGCCTAGTCAGATGTCAGTGCTGACACCTCTACCCCCAGTCTTTGGAGCAAGTGAACCAGTGGAGAGGCTGCAACAGACATCAAAGAGGCACCACAGCATTCAGGTTCTCCTCCTGTTTTAGGAATAGTGGGTCATTTTTCTAGAAATGTTTCTTGTCCCCTATTTAGGCTTCTGATCTGTGAGATCTGTGAGCCCCAGGTTGGTCTGTCCCAGGGGAATCCAGCACTGTGCATTGTCACCACAAGGAGATGTGGTATTTCTGTAACAGTGCAGTGTGCTTGACACATAACGTGTTCAGCACATGTTAATTCTAGTGAATCCAGATCTGTTCCTCTGTGTGAGTTTTTCCCTCAAGCAGAAAGAGTAGGACTGCAGGAATAGGTAGGGTAGAGGGCAAGGGTACCTATGTGGGATTTGAGCAGAATTCCAACTCAGAGGGCATCAGGAAGATGTGAGCATGGTGAAGAGCAGAGACCTGCTCTCTGGAAAGGAGGTTTCCTTACACTGTGGGCCTTTGTGCTCTGTACTACTGAGCAGCTTCTCTTCTATGAACCAGAGTGGTAGTACCAGACCAAACTATCCCTCCGTTAGGAGGTGGGTAGCGTCTATGTGACTTGCCCAGTGCTGCCCTAGCATGCAGAGCAGGCTGTGCTCCCAGCTGCCCTGAAAGAGCAAGGGTGAAAGGGGAGGAGGACGGAAAGTTGGGCTCCTGAGCCTGTACTGTGCTTTTCACTGTGACTCAGCAACAGTGTTTTTCCCACTTGGATTTTTCTCCATAAAGAAAGGAAGTTAGTGGACTGTCCTGGGGCTGTGCTCTGGCTGAGGCGCTGTGGGTAGTGGATTTGTCATTGGGAGTAGCACAGGAGGTCCAATGCCAAAACACATGGATCCACAAATATTTGAGAAATGTTGGTGTTGCAGTCTGTGGGGCTGGACTGGGCAGTGACAGGTGCTGGCCATGAGGCTGAGCTCAGACATTTCCCCTCAAATCTTCACCATTAGATGAGGTTGTGGGCTCATGAGTGCTATGCACTATGTCATTACCAATAGTGACCACCTGGTCAAGGTGTAGGGGAAGAGAAAAGCCTGTTATGTCCCTAGTCAATCACACTGCTGAGTGAGATGCACAAAATTTAAATAGGGATGGTGGGCTGAAGAACCGCTGCCTAGGAGAGTGAGGGGCACTCTGGTTCTTGTCCACTGGTGCAGTGCATACTTCACGTGCTGCTTGGATGTGGGGAGAAACCAAAATCCTGTCTGAGGAGTCAGGAACTGCAGCTGTGGCCAGACGCAGGGCCCCTGAGCAGGTCCTCATACTCCTGTGACTATGAATGAGTGTTGTCCCAGGCCTGGAAACCACTGCCGAATGTCCTGTCAGGCTCTGAAGGTCTCTTTGCCCTTCTCCAGCTAGGTTAGGAGGTGGCACACAAACTCATTTGGCCCTCATGGGTTTTGCATTGTTCTTTCTTAAATTATTTTCAAGTTGAGTGGGCTTCTCAGAGGAATCTGCAGATTAGGGTTTGAAACAAGAGGCCCTCGACTGAAGGTCCAATGAAATGTGAGCTGAAGTAAGCAGTCTAGAATCCCAGCACTCAGAGGCTTAAGGTAAGAGCATCCTTTGCAATTTTGAGACCACTCTGGGCTACAAAGTGAGTTCAATGCCAGCCTGAACTACACAGCAAGACCCTGACTCAAAAAGCCAAAAAAAAAAAAAAAAAAAAAAAAAAAAAAAAAAGAAGAAGAAAAAAAAATCTTACATCTTTTCCAGCAGGGATTTGCTTAAATCGAACGAGAAAACAAACGAACTACTGCAGCTGTGCTGCATGAGCTCTCTCATCTTCTGACAGGACGAAGACTAGTCTCCTCATCGGGGGAGGCCTGGCGTGAGCACTGCTTAGAGCTGAGATTCTTCATGGGTAGTGTGGGGCCTGGTCTTGGTTTCTGTCTCCTCGAGTGGTCAGGTTGAGTGTGCTTGTGTCCTTCACCTGCAGAATAGGCACACGGTGACCTGTTTGTCTCTGGCCTGGTCAGAGAAGACAGAAAACAACTGAACCTGCTGGAGGTGGTTTTGAGAATCCTTGGACCCCACTTAATCCCTGTTGGGCAGCAAAATTCTCCATGGAGCCTGGATGACAGTCCTACTGCAGTCTGACAAACACTGGCACATCGCCAAAGTCCTGCCGGTTTGGTCTGTCAGCTCCCTGACCTCCACTTGCTGTTCACTGTGCTTCTTGGAGCAGTGATCCACCACGCTCCAGGGCTGAAACCTGCATAAGCAGTGTGTCTGGTTCCATGAAACTTTCTTCCCAAGATTCTCCCCTGCCCTGTGTATCACCAGGAAGAGGCAGAGGGGCAGGGCTGTGGAACCCTTTTGCCCTGGCCCTTCCCTGCATTCCCTGGTTGCACAGTGTACACACAGATTGCCCCACACCAGAGGACAAAGGGCAGCCTTAGCTGCTTTATAAGAGGACAGCCGACTTGTGCCTATATGCAGGGAGAGTGAGAGTATGCTCTCTTTCTCCAGCTGCACAGAGTGGTGAAAGCTCCTTTTGTTCAGAGCAACCCAGTTGTTGCTGGGAAGCCATGGCTCTGCTGACCGGGGATGTACTGTTTTCTGTGGCCGTGGCTGTGGTCATCTTCCTGCTCGTGTTTGACTTGATGCACCGGCGTCAACGCTGGGCTGCTCGATACCCACCAGGTCCTGTTCCAGTGCCTGGATTTGGTAACCTGCTGCAGTTGGATTTCGAGGATATGACACACTGCTTCTACAAGGTAGCGGAGCTGGTGGTGGGGAGCAGCAAAGGTCAGGTGACCCCCCCACCCACCGTAGTACTAGTAGTGCTTGAAGCTACATGCTGGACAAGGACATGTTTTTATCCCAGGAGGGAAGTACAGGCTCTCTCTTGGTGAGGAGTCAGCAGGGCAGAGAACACTGACTTTCAATAGGCAGGGCAATGGGAGCACAAAGGATAGAAAATTGGGCAGGATGGGGTAGCAGGACTGACATCCAATTTGATGGAACAGAACTTTGATAGGACCTAAGACCATTCTGGTGACTGCAGAGGCTTGGGGCTGAGGGAGTGGGGCTAGAGAGTCTTAAGCAGCACTGAAATCTAGAAACTGATGTTGAAAGAAGTTCTATCTCTAGCATCAAATCCTTTGTCTGGGATGGGGTCCAGGTCCTCTCTACTTCCATCTATGAACCCGAGTTTCCACCTGAGGAATGAGAGAGGATAAGACCCTGCGACCACATTTCACTGACAGTTCCTGTACTGCGCTCAGGCCCTAGCTGGGCTGACAGGTTCAGGTGTAAGGTGGTTGTTCTGAACTTCAGAAATGTGGCAGGAGCCTGCAGATGCTAGGTGTTAGGCAGGGGTTGGCCTAGAGTGCAGGTGTAGCAAGAATGAGGCCATGAGCGCCTTCATCACTCTCATAAAGAAAAAGGAGAAGAAAACAGCGAACAGAAAAGAGAGGGCAGTAGACCTGGTGTTTGCAGCGCTTGACCTGGGTCTCCATGTCTTGGCAGTGAGGTTAGGACACACATTAAGGCAGGAGTCCCAGCTTCACAGATGCCCTGTCCTTCCACCTCCAGCTGCGACATCGGTTTGGGGACGTATTCAGCCTGCAGTTTGCCTGGACTCCGGTGGTTGTGGTCAATGGGCTGGCGGCTGTGCGGGAGGCTCTGGTGAACCGAAGCGAAGACACCTCAGATAGGCCCACAGTGCCCAGCTTTGCACTACTGGGCTTTGGACCAAAAGCCCAAGGTAAAGGTCAATAGATTATAGATAGCATCAGCACTGGGGCAGTGACCCACAGTGGACAGGGTTTACTGTGTATGGCAGTATGTTCAAGGAACAATGGAAATCCCTGTCCTCTGGGTATTAAGTCAGAAAAGGAGCTGTTGCACAGTGGTAGAAACAAAGTTTGTGTCGGATCATCAGCCAGGAGTTAGGGGAGGATGCAAGGGCACAGGTTAGTAATTTCTGGTCTTGACTCGAGCTCCCCATACCAGGTATTCTTGCAGCCCGCTATGGACCCATCTGGCGTGAGCAGCGGCGATTCTGTGTGTCCACTCTGCGCAACTTCGGCCTGGGGAAGAAGTCCCTGGAGCAGTGGGTGACTGAGGAGGCCGCCTGCCTGTGTGCTGCTTTTGCCAACCATGATGGTGGGTGACGGGTTCAGGGACACAATGAAGTGACTGTGTACAGAAGGGATAAAGAGAAAAAGGCAACAGCAACACATGCATTTCTATTCCCAGGACAGCCCTTTTGCCCCAACATCCTGCTGAAAAAAGCAACATGCAATGTGATCGCCTCTCTCATCTATGCGTGCCGTTTTGAATATGATGATCCAATGGTCATCAGGCTCGCAGAGTTGCTGGATGATGGCTTGAAGGAGGACATGAACTTGAAGCTTCAGGTGCGGGGTTGAGGGGAGTCTGTGCAGGGACAGCATCCTGCAGAAGGGCTCTGAGAGGATATTCTGCCTGCAGGAGGGATGGGAAGAAAGCATCAGGGAGGATCACTGCAGGAAAAAAGGGCTGGTGGTGGCCAAGCAGACAGCAGTAATGCGAGAAGTGGCTGAGGTTCAGGGCTGCAGAGAAGATTAGAGCCTGTGTCCACGCTGGAAACAACACAAGCTCATGAGGATTCCATGGTAGGAGGTTCCTGTGGCAGCTTAGCAGCAGGAGAGAGCTTTGCTGCTGGCACAGTAGAGAGATCGGGGCAAAGGTGTGGAGCATCAGGCCTTGGGTCACCGTGAAGGAGGCTGAGTGTGAGATGGCACCTGTGAGTCTGGAGCACAGGAATCACCCAGGCTGCCTCGGTGCTGTCACAGATAGTGAACTCAATACCACTGCTCCTGCGCATCCCATGGGTGGCTGCCAAAGTACTGCCTGCGCAGAAGTCTATCTTCGCCTTGAATAATGAGCTGTTGGCTGAGCACAACACAGGCTGGGCCCCAGACCAGCCTCCCCGAGATCTGACTGATGCTTTCCTGACCGAGATGCATAAGGTGAGAGTGGGCTGTGAGTAGGGATCAGGGTCTGTGAGCCAAGTGTTCTGGGAGGTGTGAGGCCACGTGGGGCCTCAGCATCTCCTAGAGACCCAGCTTCCGTGCCCAGAGGTTCATGGGGACATTTGAGCCATTCCTCCCACTTTCCACTGAGGCCACCCTCTCTGCCTGTCTCAGGCCCAAGGTAACTCCGAGAGCAGCTTCAATGATCAGAACCTTCGTCTAGTTGTATATGACCTGTTGACTGCAGGGTTGATGACCTCCTCTATCACATTGTCCTGGGCTCTACTCCTCATGATCCTGCACCCGGATGTGCAGCGTGAGCTGGGCTGGGAATGGATGGGAACTCAAGGGAGGAGAAGTGAGGCCAGCTGATCTGGCAAACTCATGGTTCCCAGCTGAGGCTTGGCCAAGGCACATGAAATGTGATGTTCAGCCCAGCTGGACACAGCACTTAATGCAGGCATAGAGAGGGTCAGAATCCAGTCTCTAGGGACTAACCTGCATCAGGACGCTTGTCTGTCCAGGTCGTGTCCAAGAGGAGATTGATGAAGTGATAGGGCAGGAGCGACGCCCAGAGATGGCAGACCAGGCCCGCATGCCCTTCACCAACGCCGTGATTCATGAGGTGCAGCGCTTTGCAGACATCGCCCCAAGGACTTTTCCCCACATGACATCTCGTGACACTGAGGTGCAGGGCTTCCTCATCCCCAAGGTAGGCCTGGGGCCCTTCTTCCCTAGCATGGCCACTCCCAGCTGTGGCCAGGAAGTGTTCTGTTACCTGGCCCGGATACCATTGGTGCTGCCAGGCTCAGCCTGTGTGTATGGTGCTGCACCCAGTGCTGCCCTGTGCCTGCTGATCTCCCAGTGTAGTTGGAGGATGAATTAACCGAAGTGTTGAATTGTTGGAGGATCCTGTGCACATGGGGAAGAGTAGGTCTGGGGGCACCCTCAGGACAGGCATCCCTGTCCTGTGGCCTTGCCATGTGCTCATGTACCCAACTAGCCTAGTACACCTCATAGAGTGTGCTTGTGGATATTAAGTGTCAAGAGTTCCTGTGTCCTGCATCTCAGGCCACATTGATGCCATGTGTCTTCTGCCAGGGAACGACGCTCTTCATCAACTTGTCATCAGTGCTGAAGGATGAGACTCTCTGGGAGAAGCCCTTGCACTTCTACCCTGGACACTTCCTTGACAATGAGGGCCGCTTTGTGAAACGTGAGGCCTTCATGCCATTCTCCGCAGGTGATTGTAGTGAGCCATCTTTGCTCTCTCCTTCCAGGGTGCCACAGTGGGAAGGGGCTTAGGATTCAGTCTCATTGATCACTGTCCCACCCACAGGTCCCCGCACATGCCTCGGGGAGCCCCTGGCCCGCATGGAGCTCTTCCTATTCTTCACCTGCCTGCTGCAGCGCTTCAGCTTCTCGGTGCCTGAAGGGCAGCCCCGGCCCAGTGAGCGTGGTGTGATGTCCTTCCTAGTGTCTCCATCCCCCTACCAGCTGTGTGCTGTGGCCCACTAGAAGAGGCATCATGCCCCCTACTGCCCCTTGATTGGATACTCAGTGTACAATAAACCAGTCTTTCAACTATCCCTTGGTGTCTGCATCCAACCCTCTTCCCTCTAACTTCATGTGTGATGCTTTCATCCACATGTGTAAAGCCAGCCCTGATTCCCTGCTTTATCCATCCTGTCCTGATCAGTGCTGTCAGCAAGCTAAATGCATGTACTGATGCTCAGCATTTGAGAACTTACACGACATCACTCATGGAAACCCCAAACAGGCTGCTTTGTTGGTGGCAAACCATAGGCAGCCGTGTGAGTTCCATGAGTGTCAGGTAAAGCTGAACGGGAAGTGGTTTCTATCAGGAATAAACACAACCCCTTGCAGGGTGCTAGATGGTGTTGGACATCCCCAAGATCATCTTCAGGTTCAGTGAGGAGCTAGAAAATACAATAGAAAGAGAAATGTTGTTGTGCCATTGTTATGGTTTATTACAGTGATGCAATGCACATGCAAATCAGCAGCACTGAAAGGCACAGCATTGGGGTCCAGGAAGACAGACAGAAGGGTCAGCTGCACTGTCTGAGGAGTTGCCCAGATGCTCAGTTCTCCTAACCACAGGGGTGACTGATACAATAGGCACTGCTTACTAGGGCAGACGCAGTCCAACCTCAGTGTCCAGGGGGTTTCTTTTTTTTTAATTTAAAGAAAGACTAAACAAAACAGAAAACAGGTAGAAATAATACTTTCAAAGAAAAAGTAAACAATAATAAATCATTAGTTGATGTTTACAAATTGTCCTCTTACGAATAATTGTTCAAGATGCAAAAGTGGAACATGTAAGTGGGAATTCAAACAGTGAGATTGCAAATAGTTCTGTTCATCTATCCAACAAAAACTTAGTAATATGGTTATCAATCCTATACACTTAAACATACATATACTTATCCATATCTTTATGTTGAGATTAAACAAACCAAAGCAGACTAAAATCACTGTGGAAATAGAATAATACTGTTGCTTGATTTCACATCATGACACTCTGGGATCAGCACTGGGTACTATACTGTTTTTTTTTTGCTTCAAAGAATTTTCATTTTGTCATGTGTCATAAGATCAGGTCTTGTAAACTGTTTATAGGTTCCATGCCTGCATGAGTCTTAACATGTATTTTTGTCCTTTCTATATTAGAGGGGGAAACAAAACAAAGCAGGACAGAACAAAACATTCCTATAAACACATAAAACAAAAAAAGATATATAAAACTGCTGTACAAGGAGTTCTACCATGGTTACTGTGTTGTCTCTTGTTATCTTCAATAGAATTGGCTGTATCATCAGATATGGTATAATTGAATATATCAGTACATAACAGTATAGAAACACAACTTTGTAGACAGTGTAAAACTACAAAAATAGGTAGTAATCCCACCCAGGCATAAAATAATCAAGATCCCAGAAATCCAATATAAGAACAGAATATTAAAAGCTGTCAGAGACAAGAAACAGATTGCTTCCAACGCAAGCCCATTAGAATTATGGCAGACTTCTCGACACAAACCATCAAATCAAGAAGAGCCTGGAGTGAAGTATTCCAAACCCTAAAAGAAAATAACCTTCAGCTCAGATTGATATACCCTGCTAAACTGTCTCTAGAAATTAATGGAGAAACAAGATTCTTCCAAGACAAAGAGGAACTGGCAGAATTCGTGACCACCAATCCAACTCTACAGAGAATACTGCAGGACATTCTAGAGAGAGAGAAAAGTACCAGGACTCCAGGAACAGTGGCAGAGAGACCTCAATGAAAGGAGCAGAAAGCAAAATGAAGAAGACAGACAACTAATGACAGAAAAAGAGCACAACAGAAGTGAGGCAGAGGTTAGCTATAATCTCTAATATAGATGGCCTTGGTAAACTAAATTCTAAAAAAAGAGAATCATAGGTAGAGTAGATCAGGAGGTAGGGTCCAGATGCTCTTTATAGGATATATAATTAACCTGAAAAAGGATATACAGACTGAAAATCATATATGAGAAAACAATGCTCTATGTGACAGGGAACCAGAGAGCAATAGGGGCAACTAGACTAGTATTTGAGGATCGATGGGAAAGAGAGGCTTTAATAAGTAAGGGAATACAACTAGAGATCAAGTCCAGGAGAGAGAAGGTTCGGAACCACTTAGGTAAATAGCAGGTTGCTCCCCCCCCCCCCCATTTAAAATCCAGAGATTTTTCTTGAGGTGCATTGCATTAACACTGTGCAGCGATGTGGCTGACCTCAAGGACTCAGTATGTATCCCCTCTGGGTCATATTGAGGCAGTCCAGGGCCCCTTATGCCAAGCTGCTGGCATAAATGGTAATGTTTTGCCACAGCTCCCCCAGGTTCATCCCATCAGGGAGAATGGGCCAAAGCTTTAGGAAGGTTTCCCTGCTGCCTACTAGGAGACAAGTATTCCCTTTGGCACATGCAGGGTCCAATGCAGGAGGCTCCCATGGTAACTAAGCATTGTCCTGCACCAAGCTTTTACTGCAAAATGCTCACAGTCATAGGAGTATCCTCATGCTTTAATTTTGTTGTGGAATGACACCTACCAAACCTTTAGCATCTTCCTCTACTACTTTTTTCTTTTTTGCTCATGCTGAGGGTCAAACTCTAAGCTTTGTGTGCAGCCAGCAGATGCTCTGCCAGTGAGCTCCACTTCCAGCCTCACCTTACCCATTTTCCAGCGTTCTGCAGTGGTGTCACAGGTGTTAATAATGGACAAAGAGCTCACTGACTACCCGCAGCTGTCTTCACCACGGAAAGCTGAAGCCCTCAGCCCCCACACAGCAGCGCCTGTGCCCTCCTCCCTACCCCTTGGCAACCAGCAGCCCGCTTTCTGTATCTGTGAAAAAGGTAACTGCAGGGGAGTCATCAAAGTGGAATCCTGTCTGTGTGTCTGTTCGACTGACTTACTCCACTTGAGGGAGTGTCTTCAGGTTTCTCTCCTATTTCAGGAGGTATCAGTACTTCCATCCTTTTTAAGGCAGAGTAAATTTCCCCTGCGTGAATATGTAATAATCTTCTCATTCCCACAAGTTTTGTTTTCCTGGGTCCATGTAGAAGTGACAATCCAAATCTGTGAAAATTTCAGAAATACACAACTTGGGAATTTCAATTACGGGTCACACTGAGGATCAAAATTAATCTCCTTATCTTCCTCCATGATGTTCACTAAGAGCCTGTATACCTGTGTCAGGCACGTGCTTGCCCTGCTGGCCGCGGACCTGTCTGTCTCTTGGCTGTGTGAGCAGCTGTTTCCGTGTCACGGTGCTGGTTTGAAGGTGGACAGTGCGGAGCAGCCGTAGGCCGTGGCACAGTGCCTTCCTCTCACCAGGGCGCTGAGCAGCACAGCAGGCAGCCAGGAGAAGTGCTGCAGCACAGGAGAGACCGGATGTGAGAGCCCGCATCACACACACTCGGTGTGGCACACTGTTGCACTGTCCTCCTGGCCTGGTTATACACCACCTTCTTCCTGGTGCATATGTGAGGGAGACACCGTAGTGTATGTACAATCGGTTGCATCTGCCCAGATGGGAACCAGCTAGCTGGGGTCTTGGGGGTGCTCCCACCTCCGAGGGTGACTGCTGTCCCAGTTTTCTTCCTCTAGCCCTCTGTGGATGCACATTAGTGGTGCCTCCACTCCTGTACCACAGTGAAAGCTGCTGCAGTGGTCCTGGGTGTGCACTGCCACTCATAGAATGCACTGCGCTTCTTGTCGGTGTGAGCTGAGAAGGGTAGCTTCTGAGTAGAGAATTCTCTTTAGTTTCAGGAGAAGCCCCTGCTCTATCCCACACGGTGCTTTAACCATTTGAGGGTCTCGTGGAGAGCCCCAGCCTGCACGCCTGCCTACCCTTGTTTTCCATGGTTCCCTAAAAAAGACCATCAGGATGGGTGTGAGGTAGCATCTCAGTGTTTTCGTTTGCCCTGTTCTGATAATGAGCTACCCTGAGCATCCTTTCCTGTGCTCATGGGGCCTACTGTATAGTTTCCTTGGAGAAACAACAATTCAGGTTCTTTACTTATTTTTAAACTGAAGGATGTCATTTTGGTTGTTCTGTAATATTCTGCTATTAATGTTTGGTCACATTTGTGACTAATAGTTGTTTTTCTCCATGCTATGGGCTGCTTTTTCCCTTTGTTGATGGTGACTTTTGATGGACAATACCTGTAATTTTCGTGAAGTCTAATCTGTTTTTTCTGTCTTGCCTGTGTCACTGACATCCATCAAAGTGTCACCTGTAAACCCAGCTCAGGGAAGTGTTTGCCCTCTCTATCCTTTGTGCCCATGCATCTCGCTCTCTGATCTGTTTAAGGACAGTCTGTGTGTGTGGTGCTACCTGAGTGCTGCACTTTATTCCTGCCCCCAGGGATGCGTGGGTTTCCCAGCACTGTTTCTTGAAAGACTGTTCTGCAATGAAAATCTTTGGGCCATTTTTGGTCAAATGATGAATGTCTGGAGGACCTTTGGAGGACACAATTTCCTTCTCGTGCCAAAGCATGGACTCCTACAGACGTAGGTGATGTAACCTGCTCTATCCGGAGGCTCAGTGGAAGAGCCTACTTCTTTTAGGCTACCAGTCAGTATAGCTTGTTAATGTCCTCAGTGTTTTAGGTGCTTGTAACAGGATAATCCGAGGTTCCCCTTCTGAGCATAAGAATTTTTAGATTCATTATAGCCTTAAAGTACTCCCCATATTGTCACTGTCTGAAAGGTGGATCTGTGGCATGTCATTGTCCAGGGTTACTGTGTACATCCTACTTCACAACCGTGTCACCCTGTTTTGATTACTGAGCTTTGTACCCATGGCTCCCACAGTGGTTTGACATCACTTTGGACTTTAATGTAGAAAAGTAATACCACTCGGTACACTCAGTCCTGACAATTTTGAAGTTTGATTCTTTATTAAGCTATCAATATGTGAAGCAATACTATCTGGGCAGGCTGGCTAAGGGGTAATCATTTTCCTCTAGTTGAGGGGATTGAACCCATGGCTTGTATATGCTAATTCTCATGAATATGTATGAAACGATGTTACATACTG